TAAACGACCTTGCAAAGCCCCAATTAATGACCGAGTAAAACGCCAATGAAAGCATGCCATGCCATCCATGGTTCCCATTGATTCTACCATCGGAATTCGAACAGCGAAAAGATAAAGCCGATCGACCTTTTTGGAAAAAAAAACTCACCGCTGACGTCATCGAAAAATCCAGCATATGCCGAAACGGCCAACAATAAAGCGACAACAGTAACACGGCAGAACATCGTTGGAAGTGAAATGACACTGGAGGCGGGGCCACGCTAGGCTATGGCAAAGGCCAGCGCCGTCGGTTGGGGTGGAGCCTTGGGGTGAAGGGCGAGGGTGTAGAGAATCCGACGACAACAACGTAGAAGGAAAGCAGTCAGGGGTAAAGAATGGCATGAGTCTACGATGTCGAAACCAGTTTCATGGGGGATCACCCACAAAAAAAGTGCTCTGGCAATGTTTTTTCACTGTTCCTCTTCTCTTACAGTATTTTTGTCTGACTTCTTTTAACCATTCCATGGGAGGGGCTGTTAAACTCTGGGTACCTACACCTTTTAACCTAATATTTTCCCTTGGAAAATAGGGAAAACGGTATTGTTCCAACCAAGTCTCTTCACCCCACCCGTGCGAATTCAAGATAATGCATCGAGATAGATGCTTAATTTTAACTATTCTGGTCCAGTCGAACTCAACATCGACCGCAATGATTATGCTCAAACTTGCCCTTCCCGCTGAGATGGCTTCCGTAGGGTTTTGTAAGGTGCTTTAACGGGTTCCCTCACAAATAAACTTCTTCTAACCACTATCAAAGTTTCTTAAACCTCGATCTGAGTGATGATTCATGGCCCCACCTCAGCTTCCACTCACTTACCTTCATGGCTCTTCTTAGCTACCGGCAATGGGTTAAGGCATCCGTAGACTATTTCCAATCTCCAGGAATATTGAGAATCCTCTCTGACGCCCTTTTTTCAATAATTTCAGAACATAATATGTATAATACAGTCATAAAAACTGAAAGATTGGAGCGTTAATGTAGTACTGCTGCGCCTCATTATCTCCGTTCACCGAGCCCTAAAGTCCCAGATCAAGCTTCCTCCGCCCTCAAGAACGTAATTTCTCGACAAACATTCCGGTGAAGTCCAGAAATAAAAAGCTCTCTGCTAATGCGCCAAAGACCGAAGGCATAATTCAGAGAGAAAGCAATCATTTCGAACGCAAGTAGTTTTTTCCTCACCCTGAGGATGCTTCAGCTATACAAACGTCTAACTGACTGACTACATAGTGTCTTTTTCCCAGGTTCAGCTTGGAGACATGCGAGAGCATAGAGAAATAATATTCAAATTTCACAACTACTAGAGGAAAAAATCGAATAGTTGAGTATGGGTAACAGTCATTGAACATTTAATAAAAACTCATTCAGTTAGGTCTAAAGTATGGATGGAGTTTGTGTGCCTGGCTCGTTCCAATATGACTATAGGCTTCTGAGGGTTCATCCTTCAACCTATCAAAGGTAGCATTTCCTCAAAACCTGACCATTGGCTTAGTTTTTCCTTTACTTCACGATAAATACGTAACTATTTTAGTATAGCATTGAATGGTATTGACGGATTATAATTGCGCAAAATTATGTCGTGGTTGGTTTTTCGTTGGCCTGTTTGTTTACCAATGACTTTGTTCAAACAACTTCAAACTAATGGTTATTGACCGATTGGGAATATAAAACATAACGAACGGCAACACAGAACGTGACTCTACCAACAATGACTTTCGGTTCAGAACCAGAACAATGACTGACGGCGCATTGAGTGGGGACAGGACAGAACAGCATCAAATGTTGAAAGTAGAAAAATCCATTCGAATCTAGTTGAACAACTCATGTCACCTACGAAATCTCGAGATATTTTCAAAATACTAATTTATCATTTTAATTTTGGCTGCGACTCCCTCTCTCTTTCCCTGTCCCTCTCCCTCTCCCTCCTCTATCTGCAGTACCTTTTCTATTCAGTACAAGTACTTCGACGTCTTCGATTGTTCATTCTACTCGCTAACTTTTTTTTTTGCTTTTTCGAAATCGTGATCCTCAAAGTACTTAAAACCAAATGACCTTTGAATGGCAGAGAGCCAGAAGGTCAGGAGCTCCATTAATAGGACTTTCATCGGAAAGAACGGTTAGAACGGATTGAAATTGACCAACTGTTTTTCATTGAAAACAATTTACTCAAAATTATTCGAACAACTTATATAATCCACATATTTTTCGACTTTTACCTAAAAATAATCTGAGCTGTCCATTTGTCATTTCAGTATTTAATTTTGCTCTCTTCAAATTTGCCTGCAATACACAATTATTTTAGTACTTTGACGCCAATTTCGCCAGTGAATTACTTTTTGCACAATTTTCTTTTTCTTTTTGTTTTTGAAAATCGTATTCTTCAAAGCATAGCAAAGCGTACCTTTAACTTTGGACCAAAATCCCTGTGAATAAAGCTCCCACGAGAAGAAAACATTTAGAAGAAGTTAATGACTATATGGGATGAATTTATTGAATAGCACTTTAAAAATTCTATCAATTCTGACGTAGACGTCAGATAAACTCCCAGAATTAATTCACTCCATTTCCTAGCAAGCTTTTTTCTTACCCGCAGTAATGATGAAACGAATGGGTAGTGAAGGAGAATGAATGGCAATGAGAGGTGATGGTCAGGCAACGCTAAGAAAACACCAACTTCACGGTTTCCCACACGGAAACGCCTTTCTTCCCCTCATAAAGGATTACAGTAGCCGTTTAATATTTCGTATGCCCAGATTAAGTTTTTTGTTTCTAAGTAGCTTAGCGAAAACGTTTCACAGATTGAGGATCAAATATTTCAAGAAGATTCGAAAGTTGCGCATTGGGTTTCACCGATTCCACACTTTTTACCAATTTCTCGATCATGAGGGGAGGTGGTTGATGTTTTCGTTTTCCGTAGATCGGAAATTGAAAGACAAACAGTTTTGAGACTTCCATGGGGATATTCACCCTACAGCCATTCCTTGGAACTAGTGAATTCAAAACCGAAGGAAAACT